GCTCTGGGACTGGGCTCTGGGACACACTTGACTTCGGTTATGGGGCAGGCAGACCAGACCAGAGACCAGACCAGACCCATGGGCAAACAACGAACATCGAACAACGTGCCGTTAATTTTATGGTTGTTTAAAGATTATTGGAAAACATTTTATGAGTTTCCTTAACGAGCCAAAGGTTCACTCGTCCTCACCCGCTCTCTCTCTCACTCACTCTCTTTCTTAAATGTGAATCTGATGGATTCTACTGGGATTTGGAGTGTCTGGGTTAGTGTTCCATGTTTTGAGAGGTTTTGAGAGTCATTGCAGGAACTCCCCCAGCCCCTTGTTTTCACGGCTTTATATCTGGGAATATCTGGCACTTATTTTGTACTCTTGATGCCCATCTATGTCTATGGCTTTCCTTACTAATTATTCGATTATCTTTTACAGCCTCTGCAATCTCTCACAGCAGCAGCAGCAACAACAGCAACAGCAGAACCAGCCACACACCCAACAGCAACAGCAGCAACAGCAGCAGCAGCAGCAACAGCAGCAGCAGCAGCAGCAACAGAGCCAACAGCAGCAGCAGCAGACACATCCCGGCACCGTGTTGGCCAGCAATGGACCAAGTAGCGCCGGGGCCAGCATGGGCGTCGGTGTGGGCGTTGGTGTCGGCGTTGGGGTGGGCGTGGGCGTGGTAGGACAGTGCAGTCCTTTGGGACTGCCGCCACAGAGCCAGCCGCTGCAGCCGACAATCAGCTCCCTGGCCTCGCTGAGCGGCCACTATGCGGCCAGTAATCCGCATGTGAACGGCAACCCCAATGCCAATGCGAATCCGAGCAGCTGCAGCCTGGCGGCCGCCTCCAGCTTCGCTCAGTCGGCCAGCAGCAGCTTCTCCACATATCAGCAGGCCAGCGGCGGCGGGGCGGTCGAGGATGGCGTCAGCGGGGGCTCTGTGATGGCGCACTGGACGCACGATGGCAGTGGCTCGGGAGCGGCCGTCAAGTCGGAGTCGCGCAGTCCCGGCCAAGTGCATGCGGCGCTGGACAACGGCGTGGTGACGTCAGTCAGCAGCGGGCCCAATCTCTACGGCTGCACTGCCTCCAATCCGCTGGACAGCAGCACGGCGGCGGCCGTCAACTCGTCGGCCGTGGCCGCCGCCGCTGCGGCCGTGTACGACGGAAAGCACGACTACTACTACTACAACAGCATGCAGCAGTACACGCCGCCGCCGTTCTACTCCGGCTACGGAGCGCCCTATGCGGCCGCCACGGCTGCGCGGCAGGCCAAGATGGAGCCGGGGGCAGCGGCGGCGGCGGCTGCCTATCTGACGCCCACCTATGCCAGCGGGGGCAACAACAACTCGCAGCTGTACAGCAATCCGTACGCGGGCTACAACAACTTCGCGCAGCAGGACTACGGCGGCTACTACAACGAGCAGTACGGCAACTACTACAATCCGGCCAACTACTCGCCGTACGCGGTCAGCTCGCCGAGCTCGAGCGCCAGCCACGGGCACGGCTTCCATGTGGCCGCCTCCTCCAACCTCTCCGAGAGCCCCACGGACACGCACTCGACGACGCCCGTGCACCACGCCACCCACTCGCCGCACTCCCCGCTGCCGATCTCACCCAACGCCGCCTCGGGCCTGGCCACCAGCGGCGGTACGGCCGGCTCTGCTGCCGCTGTTGCAGCTGCCGCGGCCGCCCTCAATTCCAGCGGCGGCAGCAGCGTGGGCACGGCGGGCTCCTCGAGTGCATCGGCCACCAAGACAACGCCCACCGGCAAGACGGGACGCGCGCGCGGCCGGCGGCACCAGCAGCCGAGCCCCACACGCAGCACAGCCTCGGATACGGGCAACAGCGAGGCGGTGAAGCCGCCGGAGCGGGTGTTCGTGTGGGACCTGGACGAGACCCTGATCATCTTCCACACGCTGCTGTCGGGCAGCTACGCGAATCGCTATACCAAAGACCACAGCACCCTGATGACCATCGCCTTCCGCATGGAGGAGATGGTCTTCAACATGGCCGATACGCACTTCTTCTTCAACGAGATCGAGGAGTGCGACCAGGTGCACATCGACGACGTCAGCTCCGACGACAACGGCCAGGACCTGAGCGCCTACAACTTTGCCACCGACGGCTTCCACACGGGCACACCGCCCGGCGCGCCACCCAATCTCTGCCTGCCCACGGGAGTGCGCGGCGGCGTCGACTGGATGCGCAAGCTCGCGTTTCGCTATCGCAAGATCAAGGACATCTACAACAGCTACAGGGGAAAGTAAGTACACAATAAATTTGGATTTCAATTTAAAGCGCTTGTCCACTAACGCAACATCCTTTCGTCCCTTCCATTGCAGTGTCGGCACGCTGCTGGGACCCGGCAAGCGCGAGGCCTGGCTGCAGATACGCTCAGAGATCGAGGTGGCTACGGACAACTGGGCCACGCTGGCGCTCAAGTGCCTCAGCATGATTTCGCAGCGCGAGAACTGCGTCAATGTGCTGGTCACCTCCACGCAGCTGGCCCCGGCGCTGGCCAAGGTGCTGCTCTTCGGCCTGGGCAGCATCTTCAACATCGAGAACATCTACAGTGCGCACAAAATCGGTGAGTGGACTCAGTGGAGACAATTCATTCCCAATCGGTGCTGGGTGCTAACATTCTCTCTTTATGTGCTGTAGGCCAGGAAACCTGCTATGAGCGGATCGTGACACGCTTCGGCCGCAAGAGCACCTACGTGGTGATTGGCGATGGCGCCGAAGAGGAGTCCGCCGCCAAGGCCATGAACTTCCCCTTCTGGCGCATCTCGGCCCACAGCGACATACGCGCCCTCTACACTGCCCTCGACATGGGCTTCTTATGAAAGGCCAAACTATGAATCGGAAGTGGAAGTGGAAGCGGAAACTGTAGCGAATCTGTATGCATCCATCCCGTATGGAAGTTGGCCGCTCGAAGCAGTTTTGAGTACAAACAGCAAAATGTTTTTATTAATTTATTTAATGTGTGTCTGTGTGTGTGTGTGTGTGTGTGCATGTGGGTGTGTGAGATATGAAAACTGTTAACGGTTAACTGTAAACCAGCGCAAAATAATTTAATTATTTTGTTTAAACAATTTATATTTTAACGCCAAGACTTTATTGTATTATATAGTTTTAAAGAACAACAAAAACCTAATCCAACTATCGCAACAGCAACAGCAAACAGTTCTCGCCAGCAGCCGCACGAAATTGCATTGTTGTTGTTTCAATTGTATAATTAAATTAATGAATTAACGATATACGTATTTAGCACCTTAGAGTAGCAATCAATGATACCAGACCGAAGCGGATCGAAGCGCGAATCGAGGGAGGGAGGGAGGAGCAGAAGTTGTGCAGCAGAGTGGAAAGCCTCGCAGATCGATCGGAGCAAACACAACAAAAATTAGTTTAAAGTCCTTAGTTTAAAGCGCCTTCAGAGGCAGAGTAAACATAATTATAAATAATTCGAAAAACTGTAGTATTCAAATTTTAAATAACTATTATATAGCTGCATATATTAAACTATATTTAAAATATAAAAAAAACATTAATAAAAGAGCAAAACCAACTACTACAAGCGTCCTGTTCTACGCAGATATGTATATTGCCTATAAATAGAAAATGGAGGAAATTCAGTATGTTCTCCTGATAAAAAAGTTAACGCGATTTTATTAGCGCTAAAATTAGTTACACATAATCTTCACATTTGAAGTTCGCGCCTACGCCCCTCTGCGCAGACAAAAGCTCACCAGTATGTAGTACAGTTTAATATCAGTTTTAATATCGGCCAGATTTGTCACGTTGAAAACACAAAATCATCATAGTTCCAGCAGTGGCCGTCGGTAGCATGGCGGCGCCACTGAGGATTCTTGGGCACATATTTTTCGGTATATTTCGGTATATTCTTAAAATGATTCGGTATTTTTCTGAGGGTCTGACGGTGTATCTTATCGATAAGTCCACTCTCATCTCTAAAAAGCCAACTCATCCAGTTTACATTTTTAAGTTCTGTTTTCTGTCAAATACAATCCAAAGAAACTTCGTCATTATGAGCCGGGGCCAGCAAAACGATGAGGACACCAATGCGGTGCTGTTCGATGCCCGGAACGAGTACTACGTTGGCAACTTTATGGGCTCCATCAACTTTGTGCTGCCCGAGCAGGGCACGGCTGGCGCTGAGCTGCTGTCTTACATGTACCTGTCGTACCTGGCCATTGACTCGGGCCGCATCATTGTGTCGGACATTAAGGAGGGCAGCTCGACACCGCTGCAGGCCTTGCGGCTGGTCCACGAGGCGTTCGAGCAGCCGTCGCGGTGCGAGGAAGTGCTGGAGAAGCTGACCGACAAGGTGGCCGGCGATGAGGATGAGACGAATCTCTGGCACATTGCCACCGCCATTGTGTACTGCTACGACGGACAGTTCGAGAACGCCCTGAAAATCCTGCACGGCTCCACCAACCTCGAGTCGATGGCTCTCTCTGTGCAATGCCTGCTGCGCCTGCAGCGTGTCGATCTGGCCAAGCAGCTGGTGGCCAAAATGCAGGAGATCAGCGACGATGCCACGCTAACACAGCTGGCTCAGGCCTGGGTGGCTCTGGCACAGGGCACGGAGCAGATGCAAGACGCCTTCCACATCTACCAGGAGTTCTGCGAGAAGTTCAAGCCGACGCCAGCACTGCTCAATGGCCAGGCGGTGGTCCACCTGGGCCTGGAGCGTTACGAAGAAGCCGACGCCGTTCTGCGCGAGTCGCTCATAAAGAAGCACAACGACTACGACACTCTGATAAACCTCATGGTATTGTCGCATCTGACGGGCAAGCCCACGGAGAATATAACGCGCTATCTGGAGCAAGTGCGTCAGTTCTACCCAAAGAGCGACTTCATCACCGATCTGGACAAGAAGTCGACCGAGTTCGATCGCCTCTGCCTGCAGTATGATCTGGGTGGCGAGGAGAAGCTCTTGGCCGTCTAAAAATATCCACCCCCCCAATTCAAGGTTTATATTAAAACTTTCTATGTATATTCATTAAATTACAATCAAAATTGATTAGAAATGTATATGAGGTATCCAGAGTAGGAGCACATTAGTAGCTGCAAAGGGAAGAAATGTGATTAGCATCAGAAAGTTGCACACCCTATGGGATAGTTACTTTTGCTTGAAGCCATATTTCTTTCGCTCGTAGAACAAATCAGTCTTGGAGCTGCCCAGATTCACGATTTTGGGGCAGCCATCGCGCTGTATAAACAAACAAAACAAATATAACAAAATCTCCTTTTCCATGCCACAAATTGCTACTCACATCCTTCTCCTGCATGGTGCAGGACTTGCAGTAGTAGGCATCGGACACTCCAGGTCCTCCGCAGATTACACATCTTCCCTGGTAGGAGCCGTAGTTGCACTCATCGCAGATCCGCACCAGGGTGCAGGGACGCACATAGGAGTCGCAAATCACACATTTTCCATCATCCTTCTCGCAGAGGCGTCCAATGGCTGCCGCGCGTGTGTGAGATAAAACATTGCAATTACCACAGGATAACGCTGTATTTGTGAAAGAACTTACCCACGCCGGGTTGCTTGCGGCAGAAAATCAAATCGGGATGATGCTTGGCCATGTTTTATTTCCGTTTTCAATAATAAACAATTTTAGCGAAAAAACTTGCAGCGTTTCAGTGTGACCAAATAATTTCGATACCATTTACCGATAGATATTCCATCGATAGAATTTAATAGTACCGTACCATACCTTCTTTTCTGTATTCATGTTTTGTTCAATGAAAAGTGCAAGAAACAAGGCCAAAATGCAACAGCTAAGTTAGGCAGAGTGTGCAAAAGAAGAGCCATTAAGAGTACTTGCTGCAACCAACCCAGAAAATGTCACAGGCAGCGTCTACCACGCAGAGTGCAGCTGCTGCACCGGTGGGGGGCGGCAGTCGACGGCTGCCCAGCGATGGCGTGGGAGGCGCTGGCGTCATGGGGACCACCATGTCGGCGCGATTCGGTGAAACCGAATGGGAGGCTCGAGAGGTGAGTACAGCGCAACGATAACAAGTTTTCCATATTAATGGTGTACGTTCTTCCATGGAAAAAGTCGCAACGCCAACGCGAACTGCATGAGGCGCGTGCCAGGGCGGCGCAGATGGAGAAGACCATGAAGTGGTGGTAAGTTCTCCGCCAGAGACCAAGAGAGCTACCTGCCGGCCGTCTGTTAATCACTAAACTCTGTTTGCAGGTCCGATTGCACTGCCAACTGGCGCGAGAAATGGAGTAAGGTAAGCTGGTTGCCATGGCGGCTGTTGAATCAATATGCAGCAGGTATTGCAGTTGTTTAATAACAAATAACAACTCACTTGCAGGTGCGCAACGAGCGGAACAAGGCACGGGAGGAGTCCAAGCAGTTGAGCGTTAAACTGGACGTCGCCATGAAGGAGGCACATTCGCTGAAGCGCGAGAAGAATGATCTCGAGGTGCAGATCACGCAGCTGAAGAAGGAAATGGAGAAGGTGCACACGCTGATGATGAAGCATGCCGGCCAGTTCCATCGCTCCGACACCAACGAGGATGCCGAGGCCAATGGACGCGATGCCAACTGCTCGCCGGACATCTCCGCGGATGGCCTGAAGAATATCAACAGCGAGGATGGCTTGGTCACCAAATTGACCAACGATGTCAAGGATCTGGACATTGAGGAGTTCGCCATGAAGGGCGCCATGCCCAAGCATTTGACGGACCTGGACGAGGCCGCGGCCGCCGAGGAGAAGCGTCTGATACAGCAGCTGTCGAAGGATGACTTTGACGAGGACTATTTGCTGCAAAAGATATCCATGCTGCAGTTGCGCCTCGATGAAGCGCAGAAAACTCTGCAGGCCGAAAGGGAGTGAGTGAATCGAATCATGCCCCGAATCTGCCTCCATTTTGCTTACCCAATCTGTGATTTCTTTCAGTGAGAAGCACGAACTCCACAAGAGCATTGAGAAGCTGACGCTGGAGATACAGGATGTGCGCGGCCGCCATGAGGAGATGCGCTCAGCCAAGCAGGAGGCGGTGCGCGAGCTCTTGACACTGCAGGAGCAGCATCGGGCAGAGATGCGCATCGTGAACAACTCGCTGCAGGAGGAGATTGCCGCACGCGAGAATCTGGAGCGCCGTCTCACGGAACTGCGAACCGAACTGGAGCATCTGCAGGCGGAAAACGCCTCCGAGTGGGGCAAGCGAGAGCGCCTGGAGTCTGAGAAGTTGGCGCTGGAGCGCGACAACAAAAAGTTGCGCGCCGAACTGCGTGACTATCAGGAGCGTTCGGATCGCAAGTGCCGGCCCATGCAGGCCAACGATGTGGAGCTGCGCGCCCTGCAGCAGGAGCTGTCGGAGCGCAACAAGGAGATCAGCGAGGTGAAAATGTCGCATGCCAAGCTGAAGAAACTGCTGGCCGAGACGAACACAGAGCTGAGCCACGCAGTGCGTCGGGCAGAGCAATACGAGGCAGAGGTGAGTAGATCCTAGCAGATACCTTATCTGATTATTATTATGGAGTAGCTGTGGCTGGCAACAGATTAGGCAGCTTATCAGCTTATCAATGGCAAGAAATTTTGGGGGTGCGATGTTTGCTGGACAAGAGAACACTTCTAGACAAAGATACATTTATTCCATAGGACACGTAACAATCTAACGATTCTGTAAATGCAGTTCTACCCCTTCAAATCGCAACTGAAATCAGTTGGCAAAGGCCGCCAGTCCGGTGATGGCACGTCCGAGTATCAGAGCGTGAATGTCGTGGGTGCCCTCGTAGGTGTTGACCGACTCCAGGTTCATCACATGCCTGATCACATGGTACTCATCGCTGATGCCATTGCCACCCAGCATGTCCCTCATTTGGCGGGCAATGTCCAGCGATTTGCCCGCATTGTTGCGCTTCAGGAGGGAGATCATCTCGGGTGTGTGCAGCTTCTGGTCCTTGAGGCGACCCACCTGCAGGCAGCCCTGCAGGCCCAATGCAATCTCTGTGGTGGCATCGGCCAGCTTCTTCTGGATCAACTGATTCGCCGCCAGCGGGCGTCCGAACTGCTTGCGATCGAGTGTGTACTGACGGGCTATCTCCACACAGGCCTCGGCGGCGCCCAGCGCACCCCAGGCGATGCCATAGCGGGCGTTGTTCAGACAGTTGAAGGGTCCACTGAATCCGATGGCATTGGGCAGCAGCTGCTCCTCTGGCACGCGCACATCGTCCATCAGGATCATGCCCGTGGGCGAGGCACGCAGCGAGAATTTGCCCTCGATCTTGGGAGTGTCCAGGCCCTTGCCGGATATCTTGCGATCCACCAGAAAGCCGCGCAGCTTGCCATCCTCGCACTTGGCCCACACAACCAGGACATCGGCAATGGGGGCGCTGGTGATCCATGTCTTGGATCCATTCAGGATGTACGTCTTTGTCTTGCTGTCGTATTTGGCATTGGTTTCCATGCCAGCCGGATCGCTGCCATGGTTCGGCTCGGTCAAGCCAAAGCCCCCTGTGGTGTGTGGAAACAAAGAGACACAATTTAGGTGCTGTTGGAAGGCGTCACTGTCCCTGTTTTTGGGCACACTCACCTATCAGCTTGCCCTGCGCCATGGTTGGCAAATATCTCTGCTTCTGCTCCTCGGAACCGTAGTCATAGATGGCGCCCATGGCCAGCGAGCTCTGGACACTCACTGCCGAACGGTAGGCGGAGTCTACGCGCTCCACTTCGCGGGTGAGCAGGCCATAGGCCACACTGGACACTCCGGCACAGCCGTAGCCCTTGAGGGTGCAGCCCAGCACGCCCAAACTGCCGATCTCCTCCATGATCTTCTTGTCGAACTGCTCCAGTCGATTGGCCATCTTCACGCGCGGCAGCAGCTCCGCCTGGCAGTAGCCGCGGAAGGCGTCGCGTATGGCCACCTCATCTTCGGTCAGCTGGCTCTCCAGATTGAGCGGATCCTGCCAGTTGAATTTGGGTGCCGCAGCCTTGCTGCTGGCCAAGCGGCGAGCACAAGGACTCATCAGTTTGCTAATCACACTTTGCGCAATCATTTTTCGTATATTTTGTGCGTGTGGTGTTTGGCCTTCCTTTTCGTACGTAATTCGCAGCTACAGCTGTTCTCCGGTTGACGTTTGTGAGAGAAATGAGGAAAGCTTCCAAGAAGCTCCAAAGCTGCAACAGGTTTGTTTGCTCTCTTCCGCTCTCGGCTACGGTACTGTGCAAAGTGCATTAAGCTTGGGGTGGGACATGCCCACAGTGTACTCTCAGCATAGTGGCCTATTTCCTCAGAGTGCTTGCGACTTACAGTGCCAGAGAGAGTGGCCACAAAAAATTGCCACCTACTCAGCATGCTGCTTGTTTACCTCAAGAATATATTTTGTTTTTGTGCTCGCGGATCATAATCTGCGGCCCCTAAATTTTCGCACAATCACACATTTTATTTGGGACTTGACGATAGAACCCAAAACCATAAAGTGGAGCTAGAATTTTTCCTATTTGTTATCGCCGTTTGCCTGGCGGGGGTCGGCAGCTTATCTGCGCACGCCCATTGTGCTTATTTCTAAGCGGGAAGCATGGAATGAATGGAATACTGCTTGATAGCGGGTGTGTGTGTGTATTGGTAGACTGGAATGTAAGCAGTGCAAACGGAGAATATTATCTCATCACTTTTCCTCTGCCAGGTCAAGCGCCTACGCCAGCGTGTGGAGGAGCTAAAGCGGGAGCTTGCGGGCGCCGAGGATGAACTGGACTCGGCGGTGAATCAGGTGCGGCGTCTGCAGCGCTCCAACGATGAACTAGTGGGCCAGACGGAGGGCTTTCAGGTGCAAATCCAACATCTACAAAACAGGTGAGACGCGCACAAGTATAGTTCCATTGTACATATTCGTGCCCTAGTCTTGACCCTCAACTAAACTAAACTAAACTACTAAAACTAACTTTTTATTGGTGCTGGTGCCTGCCTGCTAATCCACTCCTAACCACTCGCGCCCCCCCTCGTAACACCTCGTAACTAAACGAAAAGACGAGCCCCCAGTCCGCAGCTGCGCGGCATGGGTGGCGTTCAGTTGAGAAACAAAATAGCCGTAGAGCTGCCCAACGATTGTCTGCCGAATATCAATGATCTGCGCCAGATCTTTGATGATTCGCAGGCGGGAATGCGCAGCTCCCACAATGGCAGCGATGCGGCTGTGCATCATGCGGCCTCTGTGAAGCGTTCCAGTCACACGGAGCGAACGCTGCTGCAGCAGCAGCAGAGCAGTGCAGCTGCCTCGGCAGCTGCTGCGGCAGCGGCAGCAGCGGCCTTCTACGATGCCAAGCCCACGCATCTGGAGGAGAACATCTTCGAGTCAAAGTCGCGGAATCTGGAGTTTGAGCGGGCCAAGCAGAAGTTCGACAATCCCCATGGCTCGCACCACCACCACCACCAGAGGCAGCGGTCGGGCAACGGACATGGCCGATACGGCAGTGCCGGGAGCAGCAGCAACTGCAGCAGCGCCAATCGCTCGAATCTCGTGCTGCCCCTCAAGTGCATGACCAATGGGGGCAATCCATCGATGGCGTCCAGCAAGGACGAGATGAACAGGCAGCTGTACGAGGCGCACGAGAAGGAGCAGGCCTATGCCAGGAACAGCATCAATCTGGATGGTCTCAAGGTATCCGACGATGAGGTGAGCCGCTCGGAACCCAGTTCTCATCTTCGCATCTTTTACTAACTATTTTCATTTGCGGTATTATTTTGGTAGTATTTATTCCCCTTTTTTTTATTGTGGAATGAAATAATTAATTTCCGTTTTTTGTGTGTTTTGCAGACTCCGTAGCTATGGTTCGACAAGCTTACTGCTGGACGATGAGACCGAAGGCAATAGCGATTGAGGATTCCATTAAATTGTCGCTTATGGTATTAACTGCTAGTATTAATTACACCCCACACCCACACCCACCCCACCCCACATGCGTAAGTACTTTAAAGTTGGTGGTGGTGCAGAGGTGCCAAGGCACAATCCATGATCCTGGGCTATGTTTGGGGGGACCACCATCGACTTGTTGCTCAGTTGATTCATAAGTTCCCTTATGTACTTCGGCGCGGGAATGGAGTCCAGATCAGCAGTAGACTGTGTCATTTAATAGGCTTTTTATCTTCACAAATATTCCATTTATACTAGGCATTACTAGAAGCTAACATTAGCTGGCCATAACTCGCATCTCTATGAGCTTAACTCGCAGATAATAAAGTTGTTTAGGGGCATCGAGATTCCTCTCCCTAACATCTCCAACCAATCATCATCAGCATCATCCCTTGCCTTGTCTAAACACACACAGACTAAGCTACATTAACAGACTTAATTACCAGTTATACGTATTGGACTCCTAAATACAGGTTCGATTTTTTGCAGTGCCAGAAATCCCATAGAAATTTTACAAAATTTACTCGGAACAACGTGCAGTGTGCTGCTGCTGGCTGTGAATCGGAATTAATTTATTATTTATCACAATCTCAAACACATCTGTGCGCGCTTGTCTAGTCCCCCATATCCTTTTCGATTATTTTTCCAAAAGAATTGCACTCTGATTCGCAGCAGCAGCATATTGGTAATCTTATATAGAATATACATACATATTTGAATGGAGAACATTTACGAATTATAATTTAGCAATATTAGTATTCTAGTGTTTTAATAATACCAATTTACTATATAATTAACTATTAAAATTACGCATATAAAATACACACATATATATATATATATAACGAGCTACAACTGATACAACTGATATTCCAATAAAGTTTTGGATGTTACCATTGAATTAAGGATTTATCTTACATGAGAATAGTTGAATAGTTATTTTAATAGCTGCCAGTGCCATCGACTGTACAGTTATTTAAGTATATGTTGTACAGCTGGATTACACTAGTCAACACGATTTTTCCTCAAGGAACAAAACGAAATTTTTCTTAAAGATTTGGGGCTTAGAAATGGTTTGATGATATTTTTTTTTTTTCTATGGCAGAACTTTTTTTTGAAGGTTTTTCGAAAACTGAAAAAAGCTTAAAAAAAAATACCAGACTTCAAAAATTCTTCAAAAAAAAGTTCTGCCATAGAAAAAAAACCATAATTCTTTAAAAAGTTTTAAATCCCCATATCTATCAGAAAAAGTCGGTTTGGATCCTTGAGGAAAAAAAAAGTTCGATTTTGTCGAGTAGTGTTATTGGATACAATACGTTCAGATATTTGTCGTCTAAAGCTTAAATTAAGTATTATCAAGACATGGCATATATTTATTTCTTTCCGTTAATCTGTTCTTGGTTGTAAATTTTGTGCTCGGATATTGAATGATATTCAAGGCAGGACATGGCTTGGGGATTTTGTTTGTAATCATTACTGAAGTGTGTGACAGTCAGGTCTGGGTCTGAGAGAAATATGTCTGAGATCACAGTTGACTCTTTTCCAGGCGTTCATTTCATTTAGTATTCGACGTAAATCATTCGTGAGAACACTAAAACCAGCAACAGATTTTGAGAATTATACCAAATTTTTCCGTTTAGCAAATTAAATTCGTAGTTTTCGATCATGGTTCAATTGACGCGCAGCACAAAATTTACCTGCATTTGCTTTGGCATCTACGTGTCGTATGCCGTGTTCATATTCCTGCTGTTGCCCCTGCTGATGCCCGATCCGGTGACCCTGCAGCGGTCGATGCTCGCCTACAAGACCCGTCACCTGGGCAACCTGACCAGATATACGCTGGAGACGGGCGGTGAGCCGATTCGCTCGCTGCTGGTCACATTCCGGGGCTCCGGCGCGCTGAAGCTGCTGGATAACTTGTCCTTTCAGCCGGGCTGCTATCAGCACTATGCCCCACTGATTGCCTACCAGAACCGCATGAATGCGGCGCAGCGGCACGAGGAGGCGCTGGAGGAGATTGTGGCGCTGTACAGGTGCGACTACAACAAGTCGGCGCCGATGCTCAGCTGGGGCATGCAGTCGTCCACTTTCCAGCGCTTCTATGGCGTGCAGTGGAAGAACAGCCTCATCTATCCGAAGGAGGTCTGCTGGGACCCCAAAGTCATGTCCGATATCTGCAAGATCCATCCGTTCCTCAACATGGCCGTGTACAATCTGAGGCTTGAGTTTCTGAGTAACCTGCTGGATCAAGAGGAGTGAGTATACCTACCTTGGAATACAATTTGTGTTGTTCATTCCTTACTGTTTTCCTGCTTCCTGCCCCCACAGTCTCAATGTTAAGATCCTTCTGCTGATCCGCGATCCCCGGGGCACAATGTACTCACGTTCCAACAGCGCTTGGTGCACCAACAGTCCGGACTGCGAGCCGGCGAATCTGTGCAGTGATATGGCCAGTGATTATGAAACGGCCATGGTTCTTCTGAAGCGTTTTCCGCATCGCTTTGGGTATGTCTACTATTATTACTTAAAGCATTCAAAATGTTAAACATCCGAATGTCCAACAGAATGGCGCGATACGAAGACCTTGCCAACAGTCCCGAGGAGACCGTGCAGAATATTTTCAACTTTTACGGCCTGCCAATGAAGCGGTCCAAGGAGGTGATCCGCGGCATCCATCCACGCAGTGCTCAGCGTGAGGCCGATGGCTGGGAGTTTCCCTGGCGGCATGCCAATGAACCGGCATTCGATTGGATGTACAAAATGAAGCACGAGGACATCAAAGCCGTTCAGAGTGTCTGCAAGGACACCATGAACATGTGGGGCTATCGTCTCATCAATGACTTTGAAGGCTTCTTTCCCGAGACCTTTCAGCCGTTGCTAGAAAAGGCTTGAATTTTACATTTGGAAATTTCTGCGCCCAAAAGTAACCCAAAAGGTAACCAGATGTTGTAAGCGAATAAGAATTTGAATTTATAGAGGAAATCGTTCAAGATGTTAATTTAATACAAGCATCTTAACAAGTTAAAAGTTGATTTTTATTAATAGAAATTTTTGAATTTAAGAATCGATAAATGGCGGCAGCAGCGCTGGACAGGGTGAAGCTTTGGCTCTCTCAAAACTCACAATTTAACGCAAAACTGAGCTCGAGCTCTCTCCCGCTGCTGTCGGTTTTTTTAAAGTAATCGCCGCAATATATCGAAACATGCGCATCACTTATTACACTAAAAACTTTTGGACCCGACCGGACGCGTACAACGGAAACATTTGTGAATAAGCGCGTAAAAACACAATAAACGCGTCTGCAACAATAACAATTGCAATGTCCTCCAGCTAAGTGGAGGCGCGGTATGTGTGCGAGCGTGTCAGTGGGAATGTGTTAGCCAACAGTGCAGTGCAAAAGTGTTACATTGCCAGCAATTAGTGGAGGAGCATTAACAGCCACAAATGAGCACAGCGGAAGTGGATGCGGACTTGGAGTCGTGTGCGCTACTCAACGCTAGTGATACCACCGTCGATCCTGGCAGGACACGCTCTAAGCAGCGCGTCAGTTTGAACTCGAAGCGTCGACGCAGCCGAATGTCGCGGCGGGCGAATCTCATTGGCATCTGTGGCGTGGGCAGTCTGTGCATCCTGCTGCTGATAGCCACCACCCAGCATCGACCCCTCACGACGCCCTTCAACCAGGGATCGGGCGGCGGCCCGGCGGCAGCGGCAGCGGCTGCCGCGCTTAGCCAGGCGGCCGCCTATGGCGTCGATGGTGGTCCCTCCAACTCCCTGGGCCGCAACTCCTTCTACGAACGCCTGCAGCAGCAGATGCAGCAGCAGCAGCCCTCGCAGACTGTCGTCTACAACCTGACAGCTACTATAGTGGATGTCCTGTCGGCTCAACGGTCGCGCATCCTCACCGAGATGGAGAACTTTGAGTATCCGCGCGGCGGTGCCGAGCGCCTCAGCGACATGACGCCCGCCACAAACGGCACACCCGTCCGCAGTGTGGTGGTCACCTCCTGGCGGTCGGGCTCCACCTTCCTGGGGGACATTCTCAACTCCATTCCGGGCAACTACTACCACTACGAGCCGCTGCTCGACTTTGGCATCAAGCAGGTCCGCGATCCCGACGACCAGGATCTGGCCGTGCAGAATCTCAAGAATCTCCTCAACTGCGACTATGCCGACATGACGGACTATCTGAACTTCGGCAAGACGCACACATATCTCTTCGAGCACAACACCAGACTGTGGGACGTCTGTCGCGAGTATCCGCGCTTCTGCTGGCGGCCCACCTTCCTCACGCGCTTCTGTCGCCTCTTCCCCATCCAAAGCATGAAGACGGTGCGGCTGCGCCTGGCGCAGGCCGAAAAACTGCTGGAGGATCAAAGGTGAGTGCTCCACGACACATATGTAAATGGACGAAGCGAGGGATGCTATAGAAAGTGAAAGGCGATAGATAACAACAGGCGTATTTGGGCGCCTGGTCGCCTGGTCGTAGTGTCGTGACGCATTTATGCGCTGTCCAAGTTCGTGATAAATGCAACAATAGAGAAACTTGGGGAGTTTATCTTGATGCGTATTTAATGCCACTAAAACATAAGCATTGCCCCTACAATTTCTGTGTGTGTTTCTCTCATCTACATTTCATTTCATTTCATTTCATTTATCTTGGAGCAGGCCAAGGCTCTCTCGCCTTTTGTGATAATTACTGATGCATACACTCGCACATATGTAATATATATGTATATTGTTGTGTCGTGTTTGACTGGGACTTGGTCAACTTGTAGTTGGATTATTCCGCTTATCGTACCCAGTATTTTCTGGCATTTGGAAACCCTTGGAACGCTTATCAAAATGTTGCGGAACTTTGTTTAATCTGAAATAATTTATAAACTATTTATCACAGACCAATTTAGAAGCTCTATAAAATTGATTGAGAAGTGGCTTTAAATCAATAATGAGTCCATGCCATTATCGCTAATTACAAACGCTGATTTATTTATTATTTGATAGTAAAATTCTCGCTGAATGAATCAATTGATAAAATGTATCTCTGCTGCCATATCATTTGTGGGCTTCCTGACATTCGCTTATCTGTAAGTTTTATTGCGGCAATAGGTCTAAGAGCTTAGCAGAGTTCTTTGAAACAAGATAACTACATATATAAATTAGAGGCAGTAAAAGATGGGGGATTACTGACTTACTGGGCTTCTCCAAGCGGATATGTATATGTATGACGTAAACTGCCTTATCAACGGTATTCCCGTCTTGTTTACTCTCAAGTGATTGCTTAGACGCTGCTTCCATTTCCACTCGACAAAAAATACTTGGAAATAAACCCAATATTTGCCTAGTGCTCAAAGCGAAAGAACTTTTAAGTAATTAAGTAATCTTTTGGGGTACATTTTGTATTGCAAAAGGCCCACTACATATTGCTCTCTTCCAAAATTAAAGATAAAATTCGTTTGCATGCAAATCACGTCCCCCCGCCATATACATATGTATGTTCTCATAAGTCTCAATTAGCAATTAGGAATATTGGTAGCAAAACTCATCGATCGCCAAACGTTTTGAGTGATTATTGCTGTTTGAACACTTGTTCTTTTGAGGTTTTATTTTGTCGGATTGTGTCGGATCAGGTTTCATTGCATCACCATTAAAATGGAAATGCAAAAAGGAAATCCTGCCCTCCTCCCAGCTATTGACATTTGGCAGAGTGAAAAACCCTTTCGCACACACACAGAGAGAAAGACAGAGAGAGAGCTAAGCAAATCCTCTGGCAATAGTCAACGAAATCGAATCGCTTCTAAGCATTTCCCTATCCCACAAAAGTTTCATTTACATAATTTCCCATTTAAAATGTAAGCCAAACAAACAAGCAACAACAAAAAAACAAAAAACGGAGGAGAGAGGACAGTAATCGATAAAATTAGTGTATAGAACAATCTCTGGCCAAGCAAACAGAAAAGGAAAATGTATTTGATTGATGTGATGGTGGGTCCTACAATTCCCTGCCCCCCCAATGCCCCCACCCTACACTCTGCAGCTGCTGCTGGCTTTGTGGTTTCGATTACATTTAGAGCTGCCAATGGTCCTCCAGCTGTCTCTATCTCTCTGTCTCTCTCTCTCTCTCTCTATAGGAGACATTAGGGATACTATGTATTGGTTTTGGCTTTTGTGTGGCTTTGCCAGCGGATTGTGTCAATGTTATGCAAAAGATTTACCCCACTAAACAAATTTCAATCAAATCGAGAGACAAACTGACATTTTTGTACACAGAATTTCGCTTCAATAAAAATAAATAGAAACCCGAATCGATGCAGATGTCATTTATGGGCCGGCCACACTCTCTCCATATGTCCCATCCCGTTGCTTGTAAATGTCAAAAGGAAAATGCTAGATTTCCCTTGATGGATGTTTGCTCCACTGGCTTGTGCTTTCCTTTCTCAGTTCTGTGGAAAAACAATTAACACACTAAATCATCAACATGAACATGAGCTGAAGAGTAACTTAAGACGGAAGAAGAAGTGTTGGCTGGCCAGTAAAGTAAATTAACAGACACTTGAAAATGGAGCTTGCGGAGTTTCTTTTAGCCTGCTCTTTCTGTGGCCTCTTATATACTCTTACCCTTATGCATGGATGGGGTATGCACCAGTTGTCTTCTCATCTTTTATAGCCCAAATATCCTTACAAATTCCATTCAAGTTGATAAGTTTCCCTTGAGGGATAGAAAACCAAATAAAAACCTCTTTGTTTATTCTAAAATAAATCCAAATCAAACATATTTCGTAGGCAGCTAGCTCCCCTTTTCCCCCGCTGCCTTTTTCCAATTTCTTACCATTTTTCCACTACTGATTCCACTTGAATCAAGTTATTTTCTCATTATTCTTGACCATTTTCACGAGAGAGAGATGCAAGTAAGTAGCTCTAGAAAGGGCACTTAAGCTTCGTCTCGCACTTAATTGCTGGCTTGGCTCTACTCCGGTTGCAACAGCAGCAACAGAAGCATCAGCAGCCCAACATTCTTTCACACTCTATTAACGCAAAAGTCTTGCCACAGTTCCAAGCCTCAGAGTGAGATGCATCAAAATTCCGGAAATGTTGTCCAGAACGGGTTTCGGCTGTGGGTTGAGATATACCTTCTTGTACGCTGGATACCCTAACCAGAGGAAGTTACTATAAATTTAAATTAAGCATGTAATTGGAATAGTAAGTAAACATAGCAACGACTCAAAAACTAGACTTCTTTTACTTTGTTTTTATTATTATTATTTTTGTTTGTTTTATGTTTGTGGTACGTGGTTAGATATCGGTTTTGTGGCGTAAATGGGTGAAAAGCAGCAATAAAAAAATTGTCGGCAACGCAAGACCAGGCCAAGAGACACACAAACACAAACACAGAGACAGCGAGAGAGAAAGAGAGAGAGAGACCGACCAGACCCAAAGCCAAAGCCAAATCCGAATGGACTCCTCTACGACTATGACAAAACTCTCTTCGGCCTGGCTGGCCGGCAGTGAAAGTGATTGATTTTTTTCGTACCTCTTTCTCCAGCAGCAGCGCCAGCTGCTCGCTCGTACTTGAAGTTTCGCTTTTCGGTGTTTGGTGTTTGGGCGTACAAATAATTTCTAAAAAAAAACATGGCCCCAAGACGACTGCGTTTTGGTTGTTTTGGGTTTTTTTTTTTTTAATTTATTTGCTGGTTTTTATGATATCGGGGGGAAGTTTGATGAGGCGTTGGATGGATGATAATGGCACATAATAATAATAAGTATAGAAATTTGGCTGGAAACCAGTTAGCCAGAAAACCAGTTGGAGTCCAACAGTCGGTGCGATGTATGTTGTGCATTTAATAGTTTTGCAAATAACCATTAAATATTTTAGTCAGAGGCAACGTCTTAAGAATTAGTTGGAAAAATTTGGAAATAAAATTTGCTTAAAAAATGATTGGAATTAAATATTACCCAAGGTTTAACTCTTAGAAAATACTTCAAATATTATAGAGAAAAATCTTAAAAGTAGCAAAAAATTATTTCTT